GTATTGAAATAATAAATTAATTTTTAATACTATTATAATATATAAAATTAAAAAGTAGTTGTGTAATTGGATCTTTGTTAGAGGAACTTTTTTATGAATAATAGAATTTTAGACAAACCATTCAAAAGAATATATCTTTATAAATTTTAATATTTGAATTAATAATATTAAAATTTATAACTTTTAATTATATTATGATTACTATTGATTTTGTCAATTTTAACTATATCAAATATTTTAAATTCAAAATAATTCTTTTTAAAAAAATATAACAAAAAAATAAAAATTTAGACTAAAACAGAAATGTACAAGGCCGTGTAAAATTATACATGGCCATGTTGTTACACGACCATGTATAATTATACGATGAAAGATACATGGCTGTGTATAATTGTACATGGACGTGTATTTTCCAGGTCAACTGCCACGTCACCTCCGTTATGTTCACGTCAGCAATTTCTGTTAGTTTTTTAACGATAGGACCAAAATTGATTGAAATTGTTTATAATGAGACTAATATTGATGAGTTTTTTTTTATATTGGGATCAAAATTGATAAATTTTGGTTATAATGAGACCAAAATTAATTTTTTCCCTAATTATAATTATAACTATAAAATAATTCAATATATTTAATTTAATTTAACGAAAATACAGTATAATTTCAAAAGTAATCATAAAATTTTACCAATCAATATTATTAATAATTTTTTAATCTAAATGAACTTACAATTAAAAATAATAATTATGTAAACATTATACATCAATAACAATGAATTTATTTTTATTCAAAAATTCTCTATTTAATTTTTTTTTATCTGACGTAAGAACCCGCAGTCGCTATCCGAAAGTGCGCACTGGGAAAACCCCCGGCCGACAGACAAGTCACACTAAGCGAGCATGTGTGGCAGGTGACGTTGGGGGTTTGAACCCATGACCTCACGTAGATGTTTAATTTAGAAAATAAAGATAAAAATCCACAGTAATAATAGTAATAATGTATATGTTAAACCGAGAGTGGCTTCTAAAATCTTTAAAACTAATTGAGTTATAGTTTAATTTCTAAAACGTATTTTGTTATGCTATATGTTATTTATCAATAATAAATTTCATTAAAAAAAATAAAACAAATAAATTAGAAAATAATACTAAATTTTAAATTTAATATAATTATAGACTAAAATTCATATTAAAAAGAAACGATTATACAAAATAACTAATTATTAAAAACTAAAAACCATTCCCACTTATTTTCAATTCCACCGCCATACTTATTTCATTATCTTCATTCTTCATGCAGATTGATAGTCATGGTTATTCCCAGAAAATGAACACAGATAAATTAGAGTACATTTTATACTGTATTTTACTACATGATTCATATTTTTAGATTAAGTCAGAACAAAATCAAATACTCCCTTCGTCATTCAAATATATTCTTACTTTACTTTTTTTTGTTGTCATCCAAATCTATTCTCGTTTCATTTTTTAGTAAAAAAATATCACTTTTTTTACCAAAAAAAGTAAAAATTTCTATTGTTACACATTTTTCTTAAAACTTGTGTCCGGTCAAATGAACACACAATTGGATGACGGATGGAGTATATAAAAGAGAAGATGCCAATAAACCAAAAAAGCATGGCCGATGAGCAGGATATGTGTATAGAAGGGATATTTATAATCACTAATTAATTTGTTAGTTTTATTTTGTAAAATAATTTCGAAAAAAACGTTTCAACTTTCAATAAAATTATAATCAGATTTTATCTTTTCCATAACAAACACTTCGAATTTCTGCAATGTTTTAAATAAATTGAGGATTACAAAAAAAAATTTATTATCTAATTTATATAAACACTCAATATAATTAATTATCTATAATAAATATTATTCATCCGTTTTCACATATAAAAATATATTAATATGATATATATACATATAAAAAGTATTACAATAAAAATATATTAATATGATATATATACATATAAAAAGTATTACAATAATAATTTGTTTAAAACATATATGAAATAAATCAAAAGATATTCAAAATTCTTCAAAATTATATTCAAACAAATATTATAACCAATAAAAACTTAAATTAAAAAATTAAAAATAAATGCAATCACTAATCAAATATCATATCCAATTTTAAAAAATGAAAAAAAAAGTAGAATTTTATTTTTTTAATTCAAATTTCATGCATATGAATTTTCATAATTTTTCACACACATGTATATATTAATATGAGATATACATATACCTATAAACATATTCATTAAATAGCTAGAAATTTTTATTTTATATTGTAATAAAACTCATAATGGAGTTCAAATATATATAGAAGATATATAAGATTACATAAATATATATATATGCATATATAAACTCTATATATGCATATATAAACTCTTAAAATCAAGGGTAAACTGTTTTTTTAGTTCCGTAACTGGACCATTTATCATTTTAGTCTCGTAAGTGGAGCATGTCGCAAACTAGTCCTATAAGTGAAAATTTTTCGCTGTTTTAGTCCTTCGGCGCCGGAGACGCCCGCGTGGCTCGCCGGAGGTGACGTGTCCGCCAGGTGAACGACACCTGGCGGACACGTAGATTTTTTATTTTTTTTAAAACTTATTTTTAATTTATTTTTTAGTTTTATTTGATTTTTTTATTTTTTTATTTGGTCAAATTAAAAAAATTTTAACAAATGAAAAAAAAAAAAAAAATCCACGTGTCCGCCAGGTGTCGCTCACCTGGCGGACACCTCCGGCGAGCCACGCGAGCGTCTCCAGCGCCAGAGGATTAAAACAGCGAAAATTTTTCACTTATGAGACTAGTTTGCGACAGGTTCCACTTACGAGATTAAAATAATAAGGGGGTTCAGTTACGGGACTAAAAAAACAGTTTACCCTAAAATCAAATAAGCCTCACATTTATTAACCAATCAAATATATTAACCAATCAAAAATTTTATAAAAATATGCAAAAACCCTAGAAATTCATGTTTTTTGTCAAGGTGGAGCCCACAATGAGCTCAAATATATAGATATATAAGATTAAATTATTTAAAAAATCACTATATTTTATTCTTTTCTTTAAAAAAAAAAAAAAGAATTTATCGGATTGGCCCCGAACCCGGAGGATTCGGGACGGGACGGCTCCTGGGGCGGGTTGAAGCGGCGCGGGGCGGATTTTGGATTCTAATATTTTTTAGCGGAGCAGATCTTGAATTCTAATATTTTCTAACGGGGCAAGTCTGGGGGTGCAAAACCCGCCCCGTTCACATCTCTACATGTTAAACCATGTGTGGGTTTGCAGAACCCTAGACCCTAAACCATTCGCACCCACACAAACGCTCTCCAGCCCTTGGGCGATTTCACGCCACCCGCCGCTGCCATCGCTGTTCCGGCGGATCCAGACGCCGGACGGTGATTCTGCCACCGTCACTCGACTCGCCAACCCCGAAAACCCCCCCTACACCGAACCCCGTCACCGGAAACCGCCCCTAGCCGCCGTTCTCGTCAGCACCCGAAACGACGTCACCGGCGAACTCGCCGTTACCGGCGTTTTCGGCCCGGCGCTTCATCAGCATCGTGACCGCCGTCCTTCACAACCCCCGTAGCCGCCTTCCCGCTGTCGGAAACCACCCCGCGGTCGCCGTCACCATCCACCGGGATCTGCCCAGCGCCGTCGTGTCTGTCGCGACCCCTCCTGACGTCCAATGGCGAATCGGCCACCGTCACTGAACTCGCAGGGTTGTGGAGTCCCCGAACCCACCCCTCGATCGCCGGAATAAGCCGCCGGCCCCGCCCCCGACGGTTTGCCTCCCGAACCGTCGCCACCGCTGTTCGGCATCCCCCCGCCGTCCGACCACCATTCTGACGATGGGATCGTGCTCCCCTGGCCGGAAAACCCCCAGGGCCGTGCCACCGCCGCGAGTCGCCACCTCTACACCACTGTCCGCCGTTGCCCTAGGTCGCGACACCATCAGCGCCACCGTTCGGCGTCTTCCCGCCGTCCGACTGCCGTTCTGACGACGGCATCGTACTCCCCGGCCCGGAAAACCCCCAGGACCGTGCCACCGCCGCGAGTCGCCACCTCTCCGCCACTGCCCGCCGTGGCCCTGATTTGCGACACCTTCGGCGCCGCCGTTCTCCCGTCTCCGTCGCCGGATCGTCAATCGGCCACCGTCACTGCCCTCGCAGGGCTGAGGAGTCCCTGAACCCACCACCCGACCGCCGGAATACACCGCTGGAAACCGCCGTTGACTCTGCCCCGACGGTTGATCTCCCGAAATCCCGACGGTTCATTTCCCGACGACTGACCTCCTGACGGTTGACATCCCGACGGTTGACCTCCTGATGGTTGACCTCCCGACACGACGCCTCTGTTTCTCTGGCCGACTCCGCTGCCCGACCACCGTTCTGGTACCATCACTGTGTTCCCCGACCCCGACAACCCCCTAGTCGGTGCCTCCCCGACGCCAGAACAGTTCCCGACCGAGGCCCAGGGGTCGCGGCTGTCATTGGTCCCGACGGTTGATCCCGACTCGACGCCTTTGCCTCTCTGGCCGACCCCGCCGTCCGACCACCGTTCTGGTGCCACCACTGTGCTCCCCGACCCCGACAACCCCCAGTCGGTGCCCCCCCGACGCCAGAACAGTTCCCGACCGGGGCCCGGGTGTCGCGGCTGTCTCTGGCCCCAACGTTTGACATCCCGACTCGACGCCCCGCTACTCCGCCCGACCCTGACGCCCGACCACCCTCCTGGTCCCGCTACTGTGTTTCCCGACCCAGACACCCCCCAGACGCTGGAACAGTGCCCGAACGGTGCCAAGGAATCGCGGCTGTCTTTCCTGCCGCTCTGGTGCTCCGATCGCAGGTCTGACGGCACTGTCTCGACTAGCTGGCCCTGGAAACCCCAGACCCCCACCCTCTGCCGCCGTCTCCGATGACAGACGCCGACTCCTTCCGGAGCTAGGGTTCTGCCGTGGACTTGCCGGACATGGCCGCTCAGGCTGCTGCCGGCCGCCGGCAGCCTCCCGAAGTTGATGGTTCAATACGTCCTGTCACTGCTGATAACCATCTCCATTCACACAAGTCCTTCGCCAATGCCGTGACCTCCGGACTCAATTCCGATGCTCCTGAGGACAGTCCCTACTCCTTTCTGGCGGAGCCTCGTCCGGCTGCTATTGGACAATGGATTTCCACTGCCGGACAGCCGAGCCTTGCTTTTACTGCTGACGAAACAGCAAGGTACACAGCCTCGCATCCGTACATTCTTATCGGTAAATTCTCTCACGGGTACTCTTCTTGGAAAGATCTTACCGACGGTTTTGCGAGTTTCCGTTTGGCGGGGAAGTTTGTTTTGCAGCATCTAAATCACCGCCATATTGTGATTCGCCTCACTACCGAGGCTGACTATATGCGACTTTGGATTCGGGGAACTTGGTTCATCAAAGGATTCCCGATGAGAGTTCTCAAATGGACCCCCGATTTCAAAACTACCGCGGAACCTCCACATGTTCCGGTGTGGGTTACGCTCCCACTACTTCCTCTCCACATGTATCACAGAGATCTTTTATTTACAGTTGCTGCTGGCATTGGGACCCCTCTGAAGGTTGATACCCCTACGGCGACTCGGAGTCGGTGCTCCCACGCCAGAGTCTGTGTGGAAATTGACCTTACGAAGCCCCTTCTGCATGCCTTTGAGATTGATGTTGGTACTGGCATGCTCGAACAGAAGGTCATCTACGAGCGGCTCCCTAGCTTCTACTCACTCTGCCGCCATCTTGGGCACAAAGCGGAGGCTTGTTTACGCAGACCCTCTTTGCAGTCGGTACCAGCAACCGTATCAGCTGCGCAGGACCCTCCTGCTGCGCCTTCTGGTCGCCATGACTCGGTGCATGGCCCTTCTGAGATCTCTGCAGCCCCCGCCTCTGGTGATACCATGGAACCCCGGCCCCCCACTGCTCGACGCCGTCGTCGGCGCCGCAATCGAAATCGGGGTACGCCTTCTACTTGTATTACTAATGATTCTGGCTCCTTGCAGGCTCCTTTTCGGCTTCTCTGCCGGGACCCCCAGCCTTCTACCTGAAGACCTTCCGATGACATCCCGGAGTTGAATGGCTCCAGACGTCTTCGCTCTGGCGTGCGGGTGACCTTTGGGGAGACACAGGTGGCCCCAAATCCATCACAGATGGCCGGGACGTCACAGCAGCTAACACCAGAGCATCTCAACGGCCTTGCGGAGGCTCCTCGCCCCCACACTCCTCCTCGGGTGACCTTTGCCCACTCACGGGGGGATGCCTCTGCGATACTGCTTACTTCTGGTGTTCGAGTTACCTTTGGGGACTTTCTGGCGCCTTCGGAAACCTCTCCGGCCCGCCCTCTGGCTGCACAGACTACAGCTGAGCCCCCGATTGACAGTCCTGCCTCCCCGCTGGACGACTGTCGGCCGAGTCCCACTCCATCGACTCCTGCCACCGCCCCAGCCCTTGGTCTCCTTCCGCAGCCCCCATTGGACGGTCAGGTACCCTCGCTGCCTTTGCCACCGCTTGCTGATGATATGCAGGTACCTCCGGAGCCTGTGTCGATTCCTCCTGCTCAGTCTTTGGCAATTTGGGGACTCCCCTCTGGTCATGGCCTGGATAAGGGGAAGGCAGTGCTGCTCTCTGATCCCCCTACATCACCCATCTGCGATCGACGTGATCTTTCAGTGGACACTTGCCTATCTGCCACTGGTTCTCCTTCCTCGGACACCCAGCGGGACGAGGACTCTGCACTACAAGCCACTTTCGCTGAGGACTCGGATGGTGACTCGCCCCTTATTAAGGATGGCCAACCGCCCCTCATCGACTCGCTGTCCCTTTCCCCGAGAGGTACCACTGATTTTCATTCTGGTGATCTACCTGCTGATGCACCTACCGGGACAGAGCTCCTCCCTGAATTTGGTCCGAACCAACCCCTCCTGCGGACTTCATCGGAACCGCTCCCTAATGTCGCTTTATCGACGGAGTCGCATCCGAGCAGGGGGGTGTGCGTTTTGAACCAGGCTGCTGAACCTCCGTCTCTCAGCGGATCTTTGGAGACAGTGTCGGATGACCGGCCACAGGCTCTGCCGCCGACCTTCTCTAGACCGATTACCCGCAGCATCTCTCGTCAGCAAGTAAGTTCCTCTCGTCGCCCTTCTGCTAGTTCTCGATGACAGACACCTATATTCTGGTCTGGAATGTGCGAGGAATTGGTAACCCCAGGGCTCAACGGGAGGTACATTGGCTTTGTAAGCAACACCGTATCCGCCTTCTCATCATCCTTGAACCTATGGTTCTGGCGGACACTGCTTTCTTCTGCCGGCGGTTTGGTTTCTCCCAGATGCTAACCAACACGGCTAATTCCATCTGGATTCTTGCTGATGATTCTTATACACTGGCGCCTATTTCGGAGATCGATCAGTGTCTTCATGTGCAGGTATCATCTCCACAGATTCGCCGGCCTTTCCTTTTATCTGGCATATATGCGAGGTGCTCTATCACCCAGCGCCGCGATCTTTGGTCTTTCTTACATGACACCTCGGTTTCGTCATTGGGATCCCCTTGGCTGATTGGCGGTGACTTTAATGCCATCGCCGATATATCTGAACGGAAGGGCCCGGGTCGGCCTAAATTGCGCTCCATTCAGGATTTCTCGACCGCAATCCTCGATGCGAACCTCATTGATGCTGGTTTTGAGGGCCCCCCACACACATGGACCAATCGGCGGGTTTGGGAGCGCCTTGATCGCATTCTCTACAGCTCTGCCTGGGAGGATTTTGCGGAGACAACTCGAGTCAGGCACTTACCGCGGATGCATTCGGACCACGCCCCGCTCTTGGTCCGGTTCTCGCATGAACGACACCGTCTTGCCTCTGCATTCCGGTTTCAGAACATGTGGACTAGACACCACACTTTTCAGGACCACGTCCGCCAGAGTTGGGTTGTCCCGACGGGCACCACCGGTCTCCTCAACCTGCGTTTGAAACTCGGACGCCTCAAGCAGGCTCTGAAGTGGTGGAACAAACAGGTATTCGGTAATGTTTTTCAGGTACTTGCGGCAGCAGAAAAAGATGCTGAGGAGTGCGAAGCGGATTTTGATTGGGATCCCTCTGACGCCAACCTCCTCCGTCGTCAACGGAGCGCAGCAGCCTTGACACATGCGATTTCTCTTGAGGAGGCCTTCTGGAAACAAAAAGCAGCCTGTCGTTGGGCAGTTGAGGGAGAGAGAAACTCCAGAATGTTCCACTCCATGGTGAAGGAACGGCGTCGGCGGGCTACGCTTTTCTCGATGAGGGACGGTGCTCGTACCCTCACTGATCACTCAGCTATTAAGCAGTCAGCTATTACCTACTTCTCCGAGATGTTTGGACAGCCTGATGATGCAGACACATCGGGGATGGATGCACTGGCGGACCCTCCGCCTCAGGTTCCTTTGGCTGAGTGCGCTCGTTTGCTGGAGCCACCAACATTTGCGGAGGTTCGTGCTGTGGTTTTCTCGATTGATAAGGATAGTGTGGCTGGCCCTGATGGCTTTTCCGCCGCTTTCTATCAAACTTGTTGGGATATTATTCACGAGGATGTTTTCGATGCTGTTCTGGATTTCTTCTCGGGAGCTCCTCTTCTGAAGTTCTATACGGCAACGACACTTGTGCTTATCCCCAAGACGGACGGGCCAGTCGCCTGGGCTGATTTTCGGCCTATCAGCCTTTGTAATGTGAGTTCTAAGATCTTCACGAAGTTACTCACTGTGCGACTTGGTCCGCTACTGCCGCAGCTTCTGTCGCCACATCAGAGTGGCTTTGTCAAAGGTCGGGCAATCGCAGACAATATTTTGCTGGCATCGGAAATGGTACATGATCTCAATTTGAGGGGGGACTCGCACAATTTGCTGCTGAAACTGGATTTGAATAAGGCATACGATCGGGTATCGTGGCGGTTCTTGCGACATGCCCTTACCAGGTTCGGTTTCCCGCCTCATTTCATCACCTTGATTATGAATTGCGTTGAGCATGCTTGGTACTCGATTCTTGTGAATGGGGACTTGGGCGGTTCTTCCCTCCTCGCGAGGCCTCAGGCAGGGAGACCCCCTGTCCCCGACCCTCTTTGTTTTAGCGGCAGATCTCTTATCTCGCGGCTTGGAGCGCCTATACAATCGATACCCGGACCTGTACTATCGGTGTCGTGGTCGGTTCCGTTTGACGCACCTAGCCTATGCGGATGATGTTCTCATATTTGCCAATACTTGTGGTGATCGAATCAGCCTCTTGACGGATTTTCTGACGACGTATGCGCGAACCACTGGTCAGATGGTGAACTGTCAGAAAAGTCAGCTGGTCTTTAGCCGCCGATGCCCGGAGAGAGTCCAGCGACAGCTTCAGTCAGTGACTGGTTTCGGCAGGGTTGAACTTCCCCTTACGTACCTCGGCGCCCCGCTCTATGTGGGCAATCGGCGTAATATCCTCTACGAAGACGTCCTTGGGAAACTGCGGCGATATCTGCAGCGTTGGGACCGCTCCGTTCTCTCTCACGGAGGTCGATTGCAACTGATCAGAAGCACGCTCTTTTCACTTCCCCTTTACCTCCTACAGGTCCTTAACCCCCCCAGGCTGTCCTACACTCAGTGGAGCAGCTCTGTGCTCGTTTCTTCTGGGGCTCCTATCATGGCCACCGTCGCCGCCATTGGATTTCCTGGATGGATGCGGCGAGGCCCCAGGACGAGGGCGGGCTTGGTATTCGCCGACTGTCCGATATGGTTCGAGCCTTCTCGCTTAAATTGTGGTGGCGTCTCAGAGACGGTTCCTCTCTTTGGGCTCGCGCGCTCCAGCATAAATATTTCCGCAGCTCCTTCCCGGGTCTCGCCCCCTGCCGGACCTACGACAGCCCGGTTTGGAAACGTCTTTGCCAGATCCGCGATGAGGCACAGACGCAGATCATTTGGAATTTGGGGCGTGGGGACTGTTTCTTCTGGTATGATACTTGGTGTGGGGACCGCCCCCTCTACACGTACCGCCAGGACCGTCCCCCGCCGATCCGGGTGCGCGAGATATGGCTACACGGTTCATGGGATTTATTGCGTCTCCGGGCCTATCTCCCGACACCCCTTGTTCACCAGATCTCTGCGATTCCCTTCGATCTTCTGAATGCTGACCAGCCGATATGGAAGGCTTCGGACACAGGTACTTTTACTACTACTTCAGCCTGGGAGATGAGCCGGACAGTGGGGGCTCGGAGTTGGCTTTCCTGCTGCCTCTGGTCGCCACTCCTTACGCCTACGATGTCGGTATTCCTATGGCGTTTATTTCGCCGTCGGATACCTGTTGATGAGGCCCTTTGGAGGCTGGGTCTCCCTATTGTTTCTCGCTGCCAGTGCTGCAGTGAATCCGAGACGTTTGCACACTTATTCTTCTCGTCGGCGGTTGCCCAGCGCGTGTGGCGCCATCTTGCTGACCTATTTCGTATCCAAATCCCGCGGACACATGCGCCCCACCTGATGGTTTCTGCTTGGCGTCTGTCCTCCCCACATGCGCGGAGTATCCGTACTTATATCCCACTTCTGGCCTTCTGGTTTCTTTGGACGGCACGGAATGACGCCAAACACCGAGGTATCCAGATTTCATCTAACAGGATTATTTGGCGTATTCACTCTCATTTGCAGGTCTTAGGCCGTGCTGGCCTCCTTCAGCGTCAGCACTGGCCTGGGGAGGTGCACCTTGCCTCTAGTCTCGGCCTTCGCCTCCCACCTCCGATTCTTCGGCCGCCGGTCATGGTACGCTGGGAAGCCCCGTCTCCAGGCTGGTTCAAACTCAATACTGATGGGGCATCGCTCGGGAATCCAGGCGCCGCTGGAGCCGCGGGCGTCATTCGGGATGCCACCGGCGCTCCACTTGTGGCATTCCAAGTTCCCCTCTCGGATACGACAAACACTTTGGCTGAATTGCAAGCGATTCGATCCGGCGTGGACCTGGCGGTAGCACGCGGCCTCCTCCCTCTCTGGATCGAGACGGACTCGGCCAGTAGTATCTCTCTCATCTCCTCCTCGACGGGACACTGGACTCTCCAGCCTTGTCTCCACCACCT